CACGATTCAGAATATCAAAGAAGGGTATTATTCCTAAATGTCCATGTAGCATCCTAATTATAGATGTGGTCGACAACACACAATAATAAGGACTCTACTAGACACGGCTCCGAGACATCCTAGGACACTTTAAAACCTTAGGCTCTGATACCAAGTTTGTCACGCCCCAAAATCGAGGAGCGCGACCGGTGCTCAACCGAGAGAACCCGTCGAGCAAGCCTGTTAGATTTCCTTCTACCCAAACTCATCCATGGATAAAGAGGAGATGTACTCCATTAATCAAACACTGGAAAGATTTCATTAACAACTCCTATTTTATTCCCATTAGTAGCTCCATTCATAATTTCCAAAATATTACAAGTTTATAGATATAATGAAAAACATGTCTGTCAAATACCAACATTTCTAGTTTTGACTCTCAGCATCAACCACCACCCACAACCTGTCTACGGAGCCTCTAAGTACAACAAAAGAGTAATATGGAAAATGCCGGCAACAAGGCCCTGGCTATACCTCAAAACACAGTACATGAGAAACAAAATATACATGACCCCGAAATGAAGTGGGGCTCACCAAATCAGCTGAAAAGAGTATACTGCTATTACTGATCAATATAGCCTGTTGTAGAACCACCTGCATCCATTAAAGATGCAGCGCCCCTGGCAAAAGGGACGTTAGTACCGTCGAATAGCACTAGTATGTATAGCTAAAAGTTCTCTTTCAAAATAGAATGCCCATATAAGAAAAGGCAACACATAGAGATAGCAAGTCACAATCAGCAATATCCAAATGTCCAGTTAAAATATAATAATTTTTAAAATACGAACATCATATACAATTTTTGATTGGGAGATCATTAGCGTCTATATTCCACCGTCTTTGTTAGCACGGAGTGCGATCACGCCCGATCGGTTAGGCCATCTCCCTACAGACAATGTGGTTTGATAGGTGATGCGAAAGAAAGTTGTTACCAAGAGTAGTACCGCCATGTGCGCAACATGGAGTCCGATCTCCACCCAATCAGCTAGGCCGTCTTCCCACATATGCCATGTGGGTTGACTTTTCCATTCCACAATTATTACCAGTTCATCCCAATTAAGGGGAATAATATCACAATTTCATCCTAAATAAGGGGAATAACCACAATCTACCCCTCGATTTTAGGTGTGGGCCTTATGACCCACCCTTCCTCGGTTTTACTAATGATGCTCCCAAAAATATTTTTGATTTGATTTGCACACAAAGGTAATATAAATACAATTGTACTCACCTCAACATCTTTCACTTTGTATAAATTCTCGTTAGTATTTCCAGACATTCACAACGACAATATTTCCTTGGCTCATTTGACCATTCACAAGATTCTTTATTCCTGGCACGATGGTCGTATTTCATATTTCGCACTTTCATCTCTTTCAATTTCAAAGATCACCATCAAATATCAACATATAGAAAATTTTAGAAATCATATACTTCAAATCCATTTGAAATGGGAACTTCAAACACAAATGGTTTCTTCCCAAAGAATGAGGCATACCAACCAACAATAGAAACACATATAAAAAATTATAAACAATCAATACACCATTTACTCTTTCTATACTCTTCCCCAGAAATGACAATGTACAATTTCAACACATGAGTATATAGAACTCGAATCACACTGGATATATTTTTAAAGTAAAACATTAGTTAAAACAGCCACTAATGGGCATGAATTGAATACAAAAGCTTTTAGGCAAATTCTATTTTTCAAATCACTTTTAACACCGTTGAGTCGAGACTCATTTCATATTCTTTATCTAAATCATTTGCACTACTAGCCATAGTCATAACTTAAATTCTTGGCACGTTTACCACACTCTATATCCCTAATACAATTATTTCATTTCCAACCACCTTTATAGGTTATCAACAATAAGACATTTACAATCAAGACTTTAGGTACACATATGAGCAATTATGAGTCTTAAGCATCTCGAGTATTTCTCACCCAATTGGTATACTAGTTTTCATTTAAAACACGACTCAAAGCCATAACATTTTAATACACAAATCATACTTTGAACATCGACTTATCGACATAAGGCTCATTCGGAATAATCAAGTTTATAGGGAATAACCCGGAATATAGAAGTTAGGAATCTTGATCCAATCATACTTGATCTTACGGAAACATTATGGAATTCGATTCTAAGAGAGAAAGTTTAGCCAACATACCTCAAATTCTTCCCTTAATGATACTACAATGATGCACTACACTAATCAACTTCAATCTACAATAACAACATCCAATGAGACCAATATTAGTAACAAATCCCATAGGTTCATTGTATTCATAAATTTCATCGCCAAGATTACCAATCACCTTCTCTCTTATTTTCTCAAAAGTACTATTCATGCCATGAACTAGAGTTTTATAATCCAATCTTTCAACCATTAAAACTTGTAACAAATGCTTCAAATACTTCTAACTACTCATAATAAATGAGTTTGAAGCATTGGAATTACCTCTAGTAGATCAATCTTGAAAAATCACAACTTCGGTGATTTTTGTGTTCTTGAGGATTTGATGATGAAATCTTATATTTGGATGTAAGAATCATGTTTAGAACTCATGTATATTGAGTAATAATCAATCCAAAACATCATTAACAATTACCTTGGTCGATTGGACTTGATTTGAGCTCAAAATCGCCCCTTCACTTCAAGAACCCTAACCCCAAATACACAAAATACCCTTTTTACCCGACCTTGTATTTATAGGCCCAGATTTCTGGGTTTCGAATGCGGCCCTGGATGCTTCGCATCCCCACTTCACTCCTCTTTGAAGCTCGGATACGGACCTGGACGCTATGGCAGCACTTCACTATGAGCCTCTCTTTCGGACGTGGCCTCAGATGCTTCGCATCTGCAGGCTCCTCCGCCAGCCTTTGGTAATTTGGTCATAACTTCTTGTAGGAATGTCCAAATGACAAACGGTTTAAAGCGTTAGAAACTAGACTCAAAGACCTTTAATTGGATAGATCATACATCACTTTACTCCTTATAAATATATATATATATATATGCTCGTTCAAAGTTTAGTCTTGTGCGTACTCATTTGGAACTTTAGTCTATCATGAAATTTCTAACTTGACTTGGACTTAGGGCTCTCCTTAGACCCACATCACTTATAATATGCCGCGTGCACTTATTATCATATCCAATTGATATCCATTATATTAATAGTCCTTGTCTGCACACAAAATAATATAATGAGTGCACATAAACTTTCTTACTAGCGCTCAAGTACTTCAAAATTTTCTGGGGTGTTATATAAACGTTCTCGAATTTGTAATTTGATGATTCCAATAGTTTTGGATGGTAATCTTGGACTTGACCGTATGTTCGGATTTGGATTTAGAGGTTCCTAGAAGGTTTTGGCTCTATTTGCCGAAAGTAAGTAATTTGAAGGATTGGAGAGTTCAGACGTTTGACAAGAAGTTAACTTTGATGTTATCAAAGTTCGATTGGTTTTTCTAGACTTTGAATAGATTTATTTGGCTGTATGGAACTTGTGTGCAAAGTTTGTTTGTAATCCGGAATGTGTAAGTGAATTCATATGGATTCGGCAAAGTTTGAACTTTTTTAAGTTAAGAGACGAATCTGATCTTCGATTCTTGGTTTTAAGGTTGTTTTTTATGTTCTGAGCCTCGGTACAAGTTTGTAGGAAGTATATGGACTAGTTAAAACGATTAGACGGGGTCGCGGGGGGGATCAAGAGTGTTTCAGGATGGTTTCAACCATTTTGGTTAAGTTTGGAGCAGTTGATTTGCTGTTGTGCTGTAGTGCTTCACGATCGCGGAGGAGGATTTGGCCTGTTGTACTTTGTCAATCACGTTCGCGGTCAGGAGGTCGAGATCATGTAGGCTTGTGGGCAGGTGATCATCGCATTTCTCATGGGAGAACTAGAACAAATATAATCTCCGTTTGAATATGCGATTATCATTAGTGGACTAGCTTATATTTGTTCCTCAAAACTAACGACTTTCAACTTCTTAATTTTACCCATTTAAAACAAAATTTCTTATTAAGACAGAGTATTATTATGCAAGACGATAATATTGACCACAAAATTATTTTGTAAAATGTTTTAAACATAAAAATTACACAGATCCGAAATAGTTAAAGAGCCGAAAAAATCTAACTGCTCCTCATATTCATGTCTTTTCCCTATTTAATTTTTTTACTCTCCTGAAATTTTACATTTATTAAACAGAATACCAATTATAGAAAACCAATTATTTTTATGGAACTAAATAATCTTCAAGAAAACAAATACAAATTAAAAAATTTAATTTAGTGAAAAATATAACAACAACAACAACAACCAACAACCTAGTATAATTTCACTAGTGGGGTCTGGGGAGGGTAGTGTGTACGCAGGCCTTACCCCTACCCTGAGATAGAGAGGTTGTTTCCGATAGATCCTCGGCTCCCTCCCTCCAAGAACTACCCACCTTGCTCTTGGGGTGACTCGAACTCGTGGAGGGTGCTTACCATTAGAGCAACCCACTCTTGTCTAAGGTGTGCCTGGAAAATAACCTACCCACTAAATTAATTTAGTGAAAAATAATTTTAAAAAATGAAAATATTGCAGAGAGTTATTATATACACTTAACAAGAAGTTATAATCTTGCTGAAGAAGTTGTGATTGCTATCATGCCAAAAAGAACAAAATCCATCAAATATTAATTTTATTTCTTTTGAGCTAAATTTATGCATATAGTTATAATTGCATAGACAAATAAGTATTAATTTTCAGAGACAGAAATCGAAAGAGAGAAGACTTATTAGTTATCCTTTGAGCAAAGTAAAATATTTTGTGAATATCTGCTTTTGACATGTATTTCTGAAATAAAAAAATTCTACATATTCTTTTTTTTCTTCCTTTTGTTATTTTAGAAATAGAAATTAAATTTTTGATTCTAAAATAAAAGAGTTAACCCAAAAATAAATTCAGTTAGTGTTGAATGCAAATATAAATTAATTCACTCATGATAAAGATAATTTTTGGATCAAACACAACAATGGCGGCAGTCAGAAGGAAACAGAGCATCACAATGGCCTCGAATCTTCTGAAAACCCTAACAGGAAGATCTTTCAATTTCCCCTCAAATTCGAGAAGCCTTAGCGGTGAGATCATCACCTCCCACACTGCCAAGTGGATGCAGGTATTATAGATGTTCCTTTCTCTAATTAGTTTTCCCCAAAATTTTCTCCAGTACGAAATGATGATGGATATATTATTCCTTTTTTTTTTTTTTTTTTTTTTGTGTGTGTGTGTGTGTGGCTGTTCACCATTGCTTTTTGGAGTTTAATTTAGTTCCTAGCTTATTGATTCACAATTATCTCTGAAACTGAAATGAGTCAGATCGAATTTCCGGAACCTGGAGAAATAAAGCAAATAGTTACGGCTAGTCATATTTTAATACCCTAAGAAGCTTAACTACAGAAAAAGTTAACACTGTGGAACAACTATGTTTGTTTATAAAAAAGGGAGAAGGACTAGTTTTCTTCTTCTCCTTTCATTTTCTTAATCTCTCCCGGTCAACTTGACAACTTTAACAAGGGAACAAGAATTATATAAGTAAGAGTTGTATCTGAAGTGTGCTTTTCCGAAGCTGGTTGTGTAACATGTTGGGGTCAATTTTATATCTTGTGCAAAAATTAATTTTATATCTTGTGCAAAAATAAGGGAACATTGTCTATATATTGAAATCTATGCTAAATGGTATCACGCATGCACACACTTACAAATGAATAGATCTTAAAACTGACGGCTCAAGCTAGGTATATCGTGCTAAAAGCTTCTTGTTTATTTGAGTTTTAGCAATACCATATGGTGTAATTCAGATGCTTCTAATGCATGACTATCATCCTACTATCTGATTGATTCGTTAGATAGTGAAGATTGTTCTATCCTCAAAAGTAGTCAGTTGAGGACTAAGAATGTTACGGCAGATGTAAAATTGCATAGAGAGAGAAATGTATACTCATCATCGGAGCAACTGGAGGAATAAAGCTACTGATGGGATAACCATGTAAATCGGGTAATCTTTATGTTTGGAGGATTGCATGGAGAAAGATTAAAATTTCAATGGTAAAATTTTCCATTTATTTGAATGGGACTCTTCGCAGATTCTTTGGTAGCTTGGGGGGTAAGAAATTCCTTTGTCTTTGTGATTTTTGAAATGGAGGCACTCATTAGACCAAGGAAAATAACGTGTCATTGAGGGAATCGGGGTAGGTGATGAGAAAAGGGGAAGAATGGTTATCTCTCACCCATTATTTGTTGGTACTCTAATCTCTGTGGGCCATAGGCTTGATAGCTTCATACCTATTCAGAAGTTTGACATGGTTCAAAATTGTGTTAGAGCTGCATATTTATAGAGGAATAAAGTAGTGCCAATGGGTGTTAATGATTTAAACTTTTGTGTTGAAAGAGGAAAGACCTTTTTATAATAAATAGAAAAGACTTTTTAGCTTATTTTGGACTGTGCTATACATAAACCTTTGGTAAAGATTTTCTTTTTATTTTTTAAATCGAAGCGATAAAGGGCTGAATCTCAGTCGATCATGGCACAATACATGAATCTTCTTAGTACTTATTCTGGAAAAAATACACAATTCTTATTAGTTCATGAATTAGGAGCTAAAAAGATGCATGCATCTATTGCTTATTCATGTAATCAGGAAAAAGGTAAAATGTAGTCTTAAATGATACTAGACTATATATATATTAAGGTGTCCATGTGTTCTAGTCATTTTGTTCAAATCAAGTTGAGTGAAGTAATTGAATCATAGTTTCCTCCACTTGTCATCCTGCAATTTGAGTAATTGACTGTGCTTCTATTCTCCAAAACTCTAACATTTCCATCAAAGAAAATTTTCTTAGGTACATGTGAGAGTTCAAAATTCTTGAAGGCTAAGAGATATTCTTGAAAATTTGAAAGATAAATAAATCTGGTCTTCATCCAATTCCTGTTTGTGCCATGTTCTTGTATGTACAAGAGGCTAACAGGTGGGAAATGAGGATGAGAGCTTTTCCTTTTTTTTTTCCTTCAGAAAGTAAGGTATTTTATTGTAACCAGCATCTACTGAACTCTTCGGAATATGCATTGCAAAAGCAAAAAGTCAACTTTTTTTGTGCACATGTGTGGAGTTGAGGAAGTCTAATAAGCAGTGTAGCTCCATTACGTCAAGATATTTGCACCAAAAAGCTAAAGAAGTACATTGTAAATATCTGTGGTGTTTCTTGGCCAATGCCTAATAGCACAAGGGGTCTACTGAAGTGCTGGCAGGGACCGGAGATGAAGAAGACTTGAAACAAATCTGGATTGCTATTTCTCTATGCATTCTTTGGACTCTTTGGTTGGAGAAAAATAAAACTTGTTTTGAGGGAAAAAGCCGTATCTCTTGAATGAAGAACAAATGTTTGCATAATCATTTTTTCTGGTGTAAGAGTAGGCAAATTGGTAGTAGGGAGCAGTATATGGATTTCTTGTAACTGTTACGAGGAAGATAGCAGTTGCAAATGTGATATAGTACAGTATCTTCTGGTCTGTCTTGAGTCCTGTACTTTTTCATACCATATTTGTACCGTTGTTTAATAATACCTTTGCCAATAAAAAAAAAGGTTCTTCTGGCCAGCTGGGGCGTTAGAGGAATGCGTAAATCAGTAAGGAAAATTTGGAATACAGTGCCAGCATGTGTGTGTTGGATAATATGGAAGGAAAGGAATGCAAGATGCTTCGAAGGGAAAATAGAGGGTATACCGAAGATTAAGTACACTTGCTTATGGTTTTGGCTTTTTGGTGTAATCTACAGGATGTTCCAGATGGATAGTATGCTTGACTTTGACTCACTACGGAGTAGGATTTTGTGTCGGTGGAATCTTCTCTCTTTTGCTTTGTACGGAATGGTTCCAAATTTGTATTTTCCTGGCATTAACTTAGTGCCAGATTTCTGATTTAATATAATTGCTACTTTACCGGTTAAAAAAAAAAATTCCACTATCTCTTAATTGATTTGTTCTTCTCCTCTAGCGTTACACCAATTACCATTGATTTATCAAATTTGATTGTACCTTTTATGCATATTGATCATTTTTAGAAAAGTTTTGTTTTACTGTCAGTCTGTCACCTTGATTTAACCATAGACATCTTGATTCTTGTCTCCAAAAGATTTCTTCCTTTTCACTACATCATCAATTTCTATGATTAGACAGGCCTCTGGGCAGTTCCTTTTTTTCTGCTTCCCTATCCATCTCCTGTAATTTCTCTAACACTTCTGTTTTCTTCTTCTCTAAGTTCCCAAAGGAGCTGAAGTCCCATTCCTTAAGGTTCGCGTTTAGCAATCTAAATTTTCCTTTGTTTTTATTCACCATTGTTGAAGTCAATACTCTCTTATCTGCCTAGTATTATGTCTTCATTTTGTGTATATGCGGCTGATGTAGATAGGTTATAGGAAATGATGACAAGCTTCTTGTGGAGGTTGGAGGAAAGATGTTTCACTAGGTAGATTATGGATACTAAGAAAATATTAACCGTTTATTTGGTGGTTGAAGAGTTGGATTAGCAACCTTGATAGCAGAGTCCAAAGGGGTGGCCCGGTGGTTGAAGAGTTGGATTAGCAACCTTGATAGCCAATGTTTGAATTCCAACAGAGTTGACACTAGGTGAATTCTTCTTATTTGCCCAAGTCTTGGTGGGTAATTGGATATAGTTACCCGACAGGTGGTAGCGGGTTGCAGTACCAGGTGAATTAATATAGGTGTATGCAAGCTGATCCATGCGTAGATATTTGGAACTTTTATAAAAGATGTACATGTATTTGGAATAACATGACATGTGGTTAAGCTACCCATTCACTTTGCACATACTTTCTTGGTCTGTTAGAGGGATTTTAATTTTTCTTTTTAAACTTGTTGACTATCTAAGTTATTCCATGCTCATAGGTAAAGGGAATTTCTTCATTCCCTCAATTCGGTTTGGTGTGGAGCCCAGAGGGCTCGGGTGAGTTTCAGATTGATTTGGGTTGGTTTCTTAGCAGTTGGTGTAATGGTCCTGCAGTTATTGCAAATGCGAGCACCATTTCGCATTTGCGGTCACCGCTTTTGCGAAATACTTATCGCATTTGCAAAGCCACCCTCGCAAATGCGAATTGGGATTGGACTGGGGCATCTCGCATTTGCGACCATTTGGGCCACTTTTGCGAAGGGGCCAACTTCGCAAATGCGAAGTCAGTGTCGCATTTGCGACATCCTCTAGGATCTGCAGGCATCGCTTTTGAGATGGATTTTCCGCATTTGCGGGGTTCGCCAGGCCGCACTTGCGAGACCTGCATCTGAGCAATAATGGGATTTCGGGACTTAGCTTCATTTATCACATTTTAGAACCCTAGACTCGGTGGGAGGCGATTTTGAGAAGAGATTTTCATACACAACTATTGGGTAAGTGATTTTAATCCACTTTCAATTATATTGCATGATTGTTTATGAGATTTAACATCTATTTCATGAGAATCTAAGAGAAATTTTTGGGGGGCTTTTGTCTATGTTTTGAAAAATAAAAATTTGAGATTTGAGAGTCGAATTGGACTCGGATTTGAAAATAAAACACATATATGGACTCGTGGGATTATGGATAGTGAAGATCTATCATTGGACTCGGGTTTTGACCGGTGTGTCAGGGGTTGACTTTTGTTGACTTTTGGGGAATTGTGTAAGATCTTAACTTTAATTATCAGATTTGGTTTCTCTTGCATTGTTTGATGATATTAAGTCGTTTTTGTTAGATTTGAGTCGTGTGGAGGCGAATTTTAAAGGAAAAGCTACTTTTGAGAGTTGATTTGGCCTAATTGAGATTAGTATCTTGCCTAACTATGTGGGGGAAAACTTACCCCGTAGGATTTCGTTTAATTGCACTATTTGAATTATGTGGAAGACGTGTACATGGGGTGACGAGTGTGTGCACGGGCTTATATGTGAAAATTGACCGGTTTAGATTCTTAGGTTACTTGAATGCATTTAATTGAAGTTATTATTACATGGAATATCTTTAATTGTTGAGTTTATTCTTCCGTTTCATTGCGTTGTTGTTGAAACTCTTGTATACATTGTTGTTGAGCCGTGGGCTATGCGCTGTTGTGATATTGGTATTGTTGGTTTGGC